CACAGGATTCTTCTGCTTTTACCCCAGCACTCATTACTCTATTAAGCTGCTTCTCTCACAGTACTAACTCCATAATAATATTTACGGTCCATTAACACAAGTGTTATATCAAAATTATGAATAATACTAGATGATTGCTCAAAGTGTCTATTAGAAAAAAAAAGGAAACTTCAAGAGGAATACAAATACATTTTTATAAGGACTGAACCCTCTCAGAGAGTGGAAGACACATAGTTGAGTTAATGGAATTTTGGTCTCACCATTTGGTCATGTGAAAATAAATAAATGTGTAAAATGTTGTTGTTGATGCCTATTTCTCATTTAACTAGGTGAATTCAGCAAATTATTTTTGTTCTTTAAAACATCAGTTTTAAATAGTTATCAAAGTTAGTTCTATAATTAAAACTGGAAAGAATACCTTTCCGAAAGTATTATTTTTCTTTTATTTATAATTAAAAATTCTATTATAAAATGATGTAACCATTATTTTATATTAGCTTAAGTGTCTAACAAAATAATTTCTTAAACTTTAAAAAACCTGGAGAAAGTTTCTCTTTATTCCAAAGCAATTTATTGGCAAATTTTTTAAATCTGAATTTCTATTTTCTTATTTTTGCATTTCTGCCCATCAATCTGGAAATAATGATAGCTCATAAGAAAAAAAGCACCGATTATTTTTCAGATTAAAAGTTCTCACAACAGCATACCTTCGCCCTGCTGTCTATTTCATAACTTTCAACAAAGTTACAAATGATAACAGAAATCGAAACTTTAATTTAAATGATACAAAGGAGACAGCAAACATAATGCTTAGAATATATACACCAAATACTTTACCATTCAATCGCTAGGAAAAAATGATGCATGTCTTTTCAAAGTCAAGTATAAGAAGCAATATACAAGTCAGACACAAAAAGAATATTGAAAAAAGAAAGCACAAAAGATATTAAAAACATAAATATTCACACATAAAATGGTCCGCAGAAATCAGGATACATTCATCTAGGAAAAAACCTCCTTGCTCAGAGGAAAATCAAGTACAGCCAACAGAGGTGTACTCAAAAAATACTTGCAAAGTTTTAATAAGCAGGACTAATGAAATTTTAATTAACCAGCATCCACATCTTTTCAATTTCTCTAATTCTTTTTCAAATCTGAGTGAAACCACCAAAGCAAACATTATACAAATGTTCGCTAAGCCACCATTAACACACCACCATGCTATTTTTCTAGTAGAAGTCTGCTCATGTTCTGCCCCTCTTTGCCCACAAATTATCCTCAGATTTACAACTCAGATCAGATGGGAAGTGTACCCTTTCCTTGTACTACTACCAAAATAGCCTATGCATAGAATTTGTGTACCTGCCTTCTTCACTAGACTGTGACTCCTTGAGAAAATAACAAAGTTTTATTTCTCTTTAGCTCGTGAATGCTTAAGGAAGTACACAGCACACCAGAGGCATTCAATAAAGATCTGTTATCTAATACAACTTCATCCGTCATGGCCAGAACAACAGTACACAAATCAGATGAAATTAAATCAATGGCACAAGCTAGTTTGTGACACAAAGGTTCTTCATTTCTGTTTTTAAAAGCTTTGGGTGGTTATACAAGAAAAAACTACAACTTGCGTCAATACCATACAAACATAGAAACAAGAAAAGAAATGTCTTGCCTACAATTATTTGTTAATAAATTATTTAACAAGGTGAATTATCAAGACTGAGACCACCTCCCTTCTTCCACTAAGTAATCTCCAGGACTTTCTTCTTCAAAACTATAATTCTCCAGAACTCTCTCTCATCTCTTTGATTTTGCTTTTTCTACTCTTACATGACCAAGAATCCTTGAAAGAAAAGCAGTGGCAATAACGGAAGGTCCAGATGCAAAATAGAGTCAAACTTATAGTCTGTTCCATTACCGAACAGATATAAAATTATGAAACAGAAAACACTTATTTAAAAGAAGTGATATTGAATGACCCAAGATGTCTTCAAATATCAAACATTTAGTGTAGAATCCTATCTATCCTAGCCCCAAAGTTTGTATTCTACCAATTAAACTCACTGAGAATCCTAGCTATTACAGGTCCCTAAAATAACCAGGTGAATACATAATTTCTTATCCTGCTAATTGGGTGATCACTTTCCAATGAGATAAAGGAGGTTATTCTCTGACATTACAAACATGGAGACAGTCTCTAATTTTGAAGTAGGCAAAAAAAATAAATAAATAAAATAAAAAATAAAGAGGGCTGAATTTTGGCATTAACCCCAGTTTTCAGCTTTTCTTTTATCAGGAGTATTTTACTTAAAATAAAGCTCACATCAGATGAGACAAAAAATATTTTAAAAATTGATTTTAGGGCCGGCCCGGTGGCGCACTGGAGAGTGCGCCGCTTGGGAGCGCGGCAGCGCTCCCGCCGAGGGTTCGGATCCCATGTGGAGACCAGTTCCCGCTCACTGGCTGAGCGTGGTGCAGGCGCAACACCGAGGGTTGCGATCCCATTGCCGGTCCCCGGTACAGGCGCGACACCGAGGGTTGCGATCCCGTTACCGGTCAGTAAAAAAGACAAAAAGGAAAAAAAAAATTGATTTTTAAGGTACTATAGATTAAAAACTTTTGAGATTCTGGTAAGGGCACTTTATGGTCACCAGAAGTAAACTCCCTGTTATCCCAAAAAAAGACAATTTTTTTTTTCCCTAACACCAATAATGGTCATTTAAGTAAATTAAGCCTTTTTTTATTTTTTAAACTTGAAAAATGGAGATGGTAATGCCAAAACTGTGACTATTAGAAGTCTACTCTTAAAGAAATCCAAAATAAAAAGATAAATGGCTGTCTGTATCACAGTAGTCCATTATACAATAGTCCAAGATCACCAACGTAAGACTGGATAATAATGCCTGAAGCAGCATCAAACTGAAAGGGTTAAACTAAGAGTATGAAGGCAAATTTTTTTTAAAATATTACTATACCTAAGAAAATATCGTAAAAAGAGTAACTAAACACATTACATAGAAAATTAGATTTCTGAAATTCTTCAAGAAAATAAAGCTGAATCATGTAAAACATAAAGAACTCCATTTGAGGAACTCCAGGACCCAAAACACAATCCTTGAAACACATATTCGGCAGGATATCAATAACACACCACCCTGGCTCCTCTAAACACACAACTACCACCAGTTGATCTCAACCTTTAACTACCAATGAAACGCTACAAATTGCACCTGAAGGAAAGGTATACCTAAAAAGGCATCAACCCTTCAAAGCCCAGAGGCTCCAATATTAACAGAGAAAAAAGTGAGTGAACATGTCTACAGCAATAGTCAATCCATTCCTAACCTGCCATGTGGCTACGTGTAACCTCCTGGCTGTCGGTAGCTCCTGCCTCTACTTTAACGACCTCTGAAGGTCCGACATTTATTTTCTCATCAAAGTTTCCTAGACCCCTGATCTGTGGCTCTTCTGCTTCACTTAATTTTCTTTCTCAATTGCCTAAATCTATTTCCTACTTCTAACTCAACATTCTTCACTTATATTTCTAGTCAAGCCCAATAAGGATTTTTGTGTTGCTGTCTATGGATAAGATAAGGCTTCGGGCCTTGCATACTGCACCCAAACACACCATAGGGTGAGATCTAATTTTTTTGTTTATATTTGAATCTTGCTTACATTTTATTTGCTCTTCTCCCTGATGGTAAATGGAGACTTAGGAAATACATAAGACACAAATTGTGCAATCAATAAAAACCATACTAAGGATTTATCAACTTAGATAATTGCTAAATTCCCAAATATCTCCAAACTAATAATTAAGGACACTATTGAAAAGTTTCTTTGAAGGGGACCCTACCTTCAGCCCTAAAATTTTGATGAGATCTCCAAATCAGAATCTCTTAAAATATTCATAAAACCATGGGAGTGGCTATGACAGATAAAGCAATTCTATACAATGTATAGAATTACTCTCCCTTTTGACAATGTTGTTCCTTTTTGACTGCCTTCTCTTAAACAAATTTGAGAATATCAATTTTAAACAGATGTAATTCAGTAGTATGATGTGCAACCATATAAAAAATCCAATTTAAAATAAGAATTTGACAATTATAATCAAGAAACAATTATAATCCTTAGTAGGAGACCTTTCCCTTTTATTGATGACTCCTGAGAAATCACTACTCTTCTAATAAATATTACTTTGGGCAAAAATAATCACCAACTAAAATCCATAGCTGCATTAGTAAATGAGACAAACCGGTAGAAAGGAGAAAAGGCTAACATTAAAAAAAACAAAAACAAAAAAAACAACAGGGAGTAGGAAAACACCAGAGTGATGTTATGTGTCTTCCTTCAAAACATCAAATATTTACTTAGCATATCTTTACATGTCCAAAGCCTTTCTTAATTATCCTTCAAACATTTTAGAGAAAACCTACTTTTTAAAAAGCATGGAATTAAAGAAGAGAATGGTCATAAACATCTCCTAATGATGCTTTTTCATGAGTAATAATGACAAATTTCCAGATTGGTGAGCATAAGGCTATGTCTACACATGACCCATTTGAAATGCCTCCAATTCTACCAACTCCCTACCCTGCCCCCAAAAAAGATCATTGTGTAGACTTCACCAAAGATGCAGGGACACTCTTGTAAACTGGTTTAAGTAACAAATCCTGTAATATATATATAGAAATTTTTATTTCAAATGGATTAGTCATTAGAAATCAATAAATTAATGCAACAAAGTCATACTCTACAGTAAATCAAAACCATTTCCCCTAGTTAAGTAAGTAATGCTTAGAAGGCTAAACGTAGGAAGAGTACAAAGGAGACAACTTTCAACAAAGTTTATCAGGAATTCATAAAATTGAGATAAAATTTATGTTAAATACTTGCCACAATGTTAAGAGTTCAAAATAATGAGTTTATAAATAATATATAATATTTCCTGATTTCATATTCTACAATACTATTTAAAGTATTTTTAAACTTACCCAAATGAAGTAATGTAAACTGGGCTGCCAGTTCCTTTGCATCTTCTAACGTAGTACAGAGTTTGTCTGGCATGAAGTAACTCTGAGATCCATTTGCAACAGCTGGAATGACTATTTTATATACCAAGAGTACTTTCCCATCTTGACTTGTTGTTGAATATAAGTAATATTCTGGTGGTGCCCAATTATTTTTGTTGCAGTAATAATCCAAATGCATTACTGCAGAATTAAAATGACTAGATTTTAAAGAATACATACTAATTGGACTAAGCTTTGTCCCAGGAAAGAAAGGGTAAGTGCATCTTTCAATTTCAGTGGGGCTTGGACTATGCTGACCATTGAGACGAGCAGGAAGAGTTGGTGGCTTGCCTAAAGTTTTTGGGTGGCTCTCTTCTTTGTTAGTAAAAACAATCAGGTTTTCAGCATTGGGGATAATCTGACCATTAAGAGGCTGTCTCCAAGAGTTTTCTTTATTTACTGGTTTTGCCAGTGTTACCTCAATACTTGCTCCATCAATGCATTTTCCATTCATAACAGACATAGCAGCCACTGCATCTTCTCGGTTGAAAAAGTGAACAAAAGCATAATCTCTAAGTTTCTTTACTCGTTCAACTGCACCAGACTTAAACTTGTTGAATTCTGCTTTAATCGTTTCCTCTGTAGTTGAGATCATTAAATTTCTTACATAGAGAACTTTAACTCTCTGCATGGTTTCCTCATCAACCTCTTTCTCTGGATCAGCCCAATCTACCTGAATGGTATGGCCCCATAGTTGGAAAGTTCCTGTAAAACAGAAAAAAAAAAATTAATTTGAAGAGAATTAATACAAAGGATAAAAGTCCAAAGAAGCAGAAACTCAAATACATATCAATATATTTGGTTAATCATTTGCTTCCTGTTCTCACAAGTTTTTACTAAAGCAAACCTAACCAGAACTTATGGTGAAATTATTTTAAGAGTCAAAAGAATAAATTCACTTCAAATATAAACCTTTATTAGAAGAATTAAGTATTGCCCTTTTGGACTTGTATTAAATAATAATTATCAGCTCAGTTGAAGATACATATTCAGTAAATCAGTCAACTATCAGAAAAATATTTAATAGGACTTATTTAATAGGAACAGTTTGTTTTTTAGAATAATTTATTTTACTTTCTTAATCATTTCTTTATCTCTCTTGAAGTACATTACATATTTTGATAATACCGATCTATGACGTACTGTCATTTTTCCATATTTATAACAAGGTTAACATGAATAACTTTTAAATGAATTGGTTTACCTGGAATTAATTTTCTTCTAGCCATAGCAGCAGCTCTGTGAGATTCATATTCAACAAATGCAAAACCACGATTTTTGGTCTTATCAGTTGCACTTGGATAAACAATGACATCTACAACTCCTTCTGTAACTTTCTTCATTTCATCTAAAATTTCTTCTTTCTTTTTTTCCTTGGGAATGGCTCCAATAAATAATCTACAATTATCCAAGCTCACACACACACCAATAAACTTCCCTGGTCGAATTTCATAATTATTAAGAATTCTGATGGCTAACTGAGCATCTTCTTTTGTAGTGTACATCACAAAAGCATAACCTCGATTTTCACCACTAAATTCCATCATAAGTCTAAATTCATATATTTTCCCAGCTCTTTCAAATACAGGAACTAACTCATCTTCATACATATCACGAGGTATTTTTCCTACAAAAACTTCACAGCCCCTAGGTGGAGGTGGACCTTCCCACCCTGAAAGACAAAAATAGACACACAAATTCTAATAAGAGATTTATATTCACTATTCAATCATTATTCATTCAACAAATTTGTTGGAATCTCCTATGTGCCATGCACCATTCTAAGTGTTGCGGATACAAAAGCAAACAAAATAAAGCCCCCTTTTCTATAAAGTTTATATTCAATAGGGAAGGGAAACAATGAATGAGTGATAAGTGCTATGAAGAAAAATCAAGCCACATAAGAGGTGTTATCTTCAATAGAGTGGCCAAGTAAATCTCTGGTCACCCTGGGACCAAAAATTAATAGAGCCACGAGGATTACCTGGGAGAAGGGCATTCAGGAAGAAGAGAAAGCAAGTGCTCTATATGTAAGAAACACATAGAATACAGAGTCTGTATGGCTAAAGTGTACCTGAGGGAGGAAGAAAGCAGTAAGGGACATAGCCGTGAGGTAACTAGAAGCCAGAATTTTATTTTAAGTGTGATAAAGTTAATTGAAGGGTGATGAGCAAAGGAACTGCATTGGCTATTGGTAGAAAGGTCGCACTGCATCTGCTTATCTGTTTGCACCTGCTTTCCTAGTATAAACACTACTCCTCTACTCACTGCTCCTTCAAATTCCTCCCCAAATGACCTCCCCTTTAATACCTAGATTATTACACAGAATACCTTTTTCCCCACTGCCCTGACTTCTTTCTCAACCCAACCCAACTTCTTTCTCAACTGCTTCTTAAAGCAAGAGCAGGGTTGAAAAAAGGTAAGGGTAAGATATACATAACATTTATAATTTACCTACTTCCCCTCATACAGCTATTGTTTGGGACACTTGTGGGAATTTCACCTAATCTAAATGACTACTTAAAATTTTTAATTTAAAAGAATATAAACAAATCCACACCTGGAGGAGGACCACCAAATTTCCTTTGCCCATTTTCTTGAACCATGTTGTAACCAGTCTTTTCCATCAAAGCAAGTAATGCTGCTTCATTCTGAGTACCAGTTCGAACTTTACTGCATCCATTTGTTCCATTTATATTTTCTTCATTCATGGTTGCAGTTCCTAAAACAAAGTTTAATAATAGTGTTTAAGTTTATGACATAGAGTACCAGGAATCTATGAGCATTTCTTTGGGTTGCAAGAAACCAAAGACAGTTGTGGCTGCCATGTTGGTGATTACACTTCACTGTCCCCTTGGGTTTCTGACCCCAAAGCTCTTCGATACAGCAGAAAGTGGAAAAGTTGTTTAATATCATTGATCAGTTAAGGCAGTACCTTTAGAAGGCCTAAGCTATAAGAAAAAGAGGCAAAAGTGATAAAGAGAAAGGAACAAAGAACAGGAAAACAGAAGTGAGAGTTAGAGAAGAAAAAAGAAAGCCAAAAGAGTAAAAATATACCGCTATCTCTGAATATATGATCACTGCATCATTTACACAGCCCAAGGTTTAAATCATTTTATCATTTACGCCAACTGGATTTTTCTGTGACTTATACTTGACAGATTCATGTAACCTAATGCTAATACTACTCATGCTGCCAGCAATCCTCAAGAGCTTCACCACTTATCAGAAATTGAACAGATGCTTGGAATAAGTAAAGAGAGCTTCAAATCTACCCCTGTACCCATCTACTAGATGAAGTTAATCGAGAGAGCAGGGAGCACAACCCCTTGTCATCTGAGCAGAAACAGAAGCTACTATGATTTCCAAGCTTAAGAAACTTACATCAATGGTTGGGCAGGAGCTAAGACAGAGGAGCTGAGACATCTGCTGATCACCATATGTGTGTTTTAATTTTTTAAAATGAAATTAATTACCATAGCCTTTAAGTTTTTTTCCCCAATGATCAATGCAATGCTGTGATTTATTGTTTCTTGTTAATTTCACATCCCTTTCATTTAACATTACCATAAATTTAAAAATTGAAATTCACAGCATAGAGAATGCACTGGGAAAGCTATTTTGGCTTTCAATAGAAACTTCCTAATTATAAATGAAGCCAAGTCACTGTACCACAGCATTTGAAAAAGTATGAAATTCTGAGCCACAGAACCTCAATTTCAGATTTCCTAGTTGTCCAACTTCCGGTAACTTATTCAATTCTTTACACTTTAGTCCATTCATCTGAAAATGGGATTACCCACATAAATTATCACAAGGTTGTTGTTAAGATTAAATGATACACTGTATGTAAGAGGCTTGTTAAAATTCCATAAGGATCAAATAAAGGTTAGTTTTGATAAATACTAGGGAGCAGTGCATCATAATTTTTTATGCACCCATATTGTTGACACAGGCAATACACTTTTTCCAAAAACATCTTTTGTTTCACAAAGGGGGGAGGGGTGGTATGATATGGTACTCAGATACGTACAGAAAAGTATCAGCATCTCTACAGTGGATCTGTAGTGAGGGTGGGAGTGTAGAGGATGTCACCAAAGAATCACTGCTAACTTACTACAGTTATCCTCACTAGTACTTAGTATATAGCATGATGGCTCTAGATCCAGACTGCCTGGAATCAAATCATTCCTTTTCACTTACAAGATGTATAATTTTGAGTAAGTTAATTAACTCCTTCGTACCTCAGTATTCTCATCTGTAACTGCAGATAATAACAATGGATATCTCAGAGTTTTTATGAATAATAAGTCAGTTAACTGATGTAAAAAAAAAAACCCTAGGATTTTTGTCCTTAAATAATAAAAAAATTATTCACAAATACAAGGGTATTTCAAAAAGTTCATGAAAAAATAAATTAAAAAATAATATGAATCCACGAACTTTCTGAGGTACTATCGTACTAATATTTATGCATACACTGGAACTTTTCAAATCATTAAAAATCTGCAAATAACTATAGCTTAGAATCCAATTATTCAACTCATCTTTCAAGTACTATAAATGGCTTCAAAACTAAATTGTGACAACAGATAGAAATAAGGCATAATGATCATAAGAGGTTCAGTGTACTTAGTAGGGGGCTATTATAAATGCCAGGACATTTCCACAAATTACCTCTAATCTCTACAACATCCAGAAGGGAGTATTAACCTTGCTAAAAGAAAATTATTATTTTCACTTAGATGAAGAAACTGAGGCTTAGAGAGAAAAACTACATCAACCAAGACCACAGAGCCAGAAAGTGGCACAGACAGAATTCAAACCAAGATCTCCCTGATTTCAAACACCCCTTCCTGCCATGAAAATTATCCTGGCATACCTTTTGCCACAACTTTACTTGAATGTGCCCCAAAGAACAGGAACTCCTCCCCCGCAGTTGACCTTTATGAAAATGAAGTATTCAAAAACTATAAATTAATATAGCTAAATTAGGTGATCTCTAAGTCCTTCCTAGTTTTGAAAAATCTACATTTCTCTGAGTGATGATGAATATAGCTACAAACACATCCATATCATATGCCACATACACAAAATCTTTTTACAGTCTTTAAAGCTTCTTCCAAGCTATTATTATATTACATCAAATGGAGTAATTCTGAAAAAAACAAGGCAGGAAAGTGGTTCATGCACCCATAGTGCTTCTACCTACCATCTACCTCATTTCCCTAAACTTCATACCTGCAGCCCAATTTTCTTTCCTAAGCTAAGACTCATTTATCAAATTGCCAAATAAACATAAATGTTGAAAATGAGATGTTCATTACCTATCTCTAATTCAACATATCAAAAACTGAACTGCCTATTTATCTTCCAAACCTGTTCCTTCCTGTTTTACCTTATCTCAATCAATTCATCCATTCAACCAATAAATGGCACCATAGCAAACACTCCCTCTCTACCAAACTGTCAAAATCAGAAACCTGGGAGTAATCCCAGAGTCTTCCTTTGACTCACAGGTAATGAGTCACAGAGACCTCCAGATTTAATCTAAATATCTCTTGAAATCAGTCTCTTCCTGACCTGTTCTCAGACAATTATTTCTTACTTGAATTAGTGCTAGGTTCCTAAATGTTTTTCCAACTTTTAGTCTTGTCCCCCTCAAGCAAAATCTTCATAATGCTATCAAGGTGGTATAAAATATATATCTGATCATCTTAAACTTCTATTTCAAATCAAAACTAATGGAAAAAATTAGTAAATTTATTTTTTTAAGTCTTTGAATCAGGAAAGCCCATCTAAAAAACAAACAAACCAAAAAAGCCTCAAAGGAAAATATTAATAGATTATTTCCTACTACATAAAAAACAATTTTGGAAGGAAAAAATACCACAAAACTAAGTAAAAAAAAAATTACAAACGGGAAAAAATCATCAGCAACAGACACGATAAAGAGCTAATTTCCTTAAAATAAAAAGAGCAGCACAGAGTCAAAGTTAAGAGCAGATTCAGGTACCAGATAGCTTAAATTTAAATCCTGGTCTTCCCTCCATTAAGCTGTTGACACTGGACAAGTTATCTCAATGCCTGTGTTTTGTTATTACTTCACAGGGTAGAAGGACTCAGAGGATTCAAAATAAAGGGCTTAAAACAGTCCTTTGCATATAAGCACTATAAATGTATCTATTATTTTCAATATCTAACAAAACAGTAAGGAGAACACAAACTGCATACCAGGGACCATAAACCCAAATTCATTCATTTATTCAACAAGTCTGTACTGAACACCAACTGTATCCCAGGGACTATTCCTTACGCCTGGGATACATCAGTAAATAAAAGTACAAAATTCCTCCTTCTCCCTTGAATACTTTATATTCCATTGGAGAAAACAAATGATAGATAATAAAAATAATAAGTAAATAATATAATACCTAAAAGAAACAGGGATAGAGCACATGGAGTGGTGAGAGGCTGGCAGAAGAAGACAGGGTGCAATTTTAAACTAGACAGCTAACGTCGTCCTCGCTAAGAACATAACCTCTGAGCAAAGAACCAAGGAACCTACCCATGCAGCTATCTGGGAAGAACACTCCACACAAATGGAAAACACAGGCAAAGGCCTTAAGATAGAAGTGTGCTTGCCATATACAAGGCACAGAAAAGGAGCCAATAAGGGAAAGATAGGGGACAGCAGTAGGGGAGGTAGCAGTGAAGTAACTAGCAGCCACATCACATATGCCTTTTAAGTTAGGTAACGTAAGTACTCCACCTTTTATTCTGAGTAAATGACGAGCCACTGCAGATTCTGAGCACAGGAGTAATACGATCTTTCATTTTAAAATTTGAAAAGTCAGCCTAAGGGCAAAGGTGGAAGCAGGGAGAAGACTACTCCTAAAATCCAGGTGAGAGATGACAATGGCATAGAACAAAGAGGCTGAGGTGGAGGAGGAAAGAAGCGGTTTGACTTGAGATGTACTCTGAAGGTATATCCAATAGAATTTTCTGAAATATCAGATATGGATTGTGAGATAAACAGAGAAGTGAAGAATGACCCCAAAGTTTTGGCCTGGGCAAAAAGAAGAGAAATGAAGACGGCTGAGTAGAATAAATTTTAAGAGTAAGATTAGTGTTCTGTTTTGGACATGTTATATTTGAATATCTACTAAATAAACAACTCGAATGCCTACAAGACCCTGGCAAGAAATGTTAAGAGTAGATGGCAAGTACAAGACCATAAAAAGTGGAATGTACTGTGCTTAACTAGAAAGCCCATCTGAAAAAGGACAGTAGGTACTCAACCGTTGCAAAATGTTACCATGAGGAAATTCAGCTTGCCTGGTTATCAGATTCGACCCGCCAGTTCTTCCTACCTCCCTTCTGGTCTTCTACCCACTTGTGTTCCATCCATGAAATGGCCTAACTTATCCCCCTTCGCCAAGATATAACTTTTAATATTGGCAAACTCAATTAATAGCTATCTGTCCAAATTTAATCTGAAAACATCTTAAAACTCCCTAGTCTAACCAGTGAGTAATAACAGGATTCTGCATTGTCTTAAACAGTCAACATTCTGTCATCCTTGTAATGACATAAAATATCTACCCACCAATATTATTTGGGCCTTGAAAATTCATCTTAAAATGTACTTACATTTGAAGAACAGGCCTATGTGATATTCTGGAAAAAATTTATTTATTTTTTTAACAATAAAGCTACATTGTAATGGCCCACCTGCAGAGAAAGTAAAAAGCTGTTCAGCATTCCCTCAATTCCTCCTCCCCTCGTCTGTTCAACATGACAGGCACTATCCTATTTCTCTTCATCTATATCTTTTTTAGATTCTTCTAATTTACTAGGCTCATATTTATTAAATGGCAGAATTTGGAAGTAGGGAAGAAATCTTACTAACGTTATTGTCTTAAGTCTGTACTATCAGCTAACTGTATGTCTTGTACCTACACTCCAGGGACAGATGTGATTTATGTGACATCAAATCCAATAAATTAAACAATGTATTAATAAATCCTCATACAAAATGTTATTTTTTGATTATCAAAACCGTTAATGAGATAACAGTTAATTGACCAACCAACATCCAGCCCTTTGTCTTTTAAAAAAATGCAATATTTTTCCATAATCATCACTTTAAAATTAAAAGCATTTTAAATGATATAACTACCCTTCTCTATTTAAGATTGTTTTTACTCTAGGTTTTGCTGGTATACCATCATTGAAGATTTTATAGTAAGAAAACATTAGAACTATAAGTGGACCTTAACTTATTCATGAGAAAACCAACAGCAAATAAGCTAAAAAGACTTCCTAAGGCCAAAAAACTAGTAATTGAAAAGACTTGGAGCTCAAACCCTAGTCTCTCATGTTGCCTCAGAAATTCATAAACTCTGGCTCTCTTCCATAATCTATTCCAGAGGGACTCATCAGGCCTCAACATCCCACAGGACATCATACTGGCCAACTACACTAAACATGTTCCTATAATGTGGAGAATAGGAAAGTGTAAGATTTATATTTTTTAAATATGTTGCAGGAAAAAGGGTAAAAGAAAAAATAAGAATCTAGTTTAATATGCTACCTTACATATGCTACTTATAGTCTATAAAAGCAATAGACAAATACGGGTTCTGCTCCCATTTTACCCAAAATGTAGATTTTAATTTAATAAATAGGACTTTTTTTTTAACTATTATTTATAACTAGCTCTAAACGACTGATTTCTGCAACCCAACCCACCCATACAATTACCTTATAGCCATCTATTTTTTTTGTTAATCTATGTCTCTAATGTATTTTTTAAAAGATCACAATCTAGGGTCTTATGCTGAAATAACGGGCCAGTCTGCACATTAAAGACTCCTTTTACTAGAAACATATGCTAGACTATATACATTTCAAGAAATCTCAATCAAGATATTACAAAAACTTAAAATTACAGAAGTATAAGACATACTGGAATCACCAATCCCATCCTCTCTTTAGAAGGAATGTGTTCTCATTTTAGAGCCTCCAAAGCAAAAGTAACATATACACCTGTATAATTCACAGTTAGGAAAGTTTAAAATACCTAACTTTAACACCATATTAATTTAACCAAAATATATTTCTAAAAAAGCCAGAATTTAAGAATCTTAGCCAGAGAATTATAATCAAATCTAAAGCAAGCATACAATATCTTTATGTTCATTCTAAAATATTCAAGACTCAATCTGAAAGTTACCTAGATGTCCAAGGAAGCATAGCAATCCTGTACATTATGACAAAGCTGATATACCAATTTAGGCTTCCCAGCTCAATTAGTTCTCTGCCATTTTCCGCTGTGGATTCACATTCCAAAGTGTTCTACAAACTATTTTCCTTACCCTGCTGACCCAAACAATCCGACTAAGAGAAAGAGGAGTCCTGAGCAAGAGGAGGACATAAATGGCTTGTGAAAAAAAAAAAAAAAAAAAACTGGAAAAGGTAGATTAAAAATTGTTGTAGCATATTTAACTCAAGCTTTCACAGATAAATCTTTTTTCCTGAACTTTGGACTTTCAAAATGCTTCTCTAGCTTGGTTTCAAAAGAAAAAAAGAAGAAACCCACTAAGCTATGACATAAAAGGCTGAGACAGCATAGCCAATCACAAAATAGATATTCAAGTGACAATCTGAACCAAGTCTTTAGCTTTAACTGCTAACTATATCGTGTTTAATTTTAAGCATCTTAATAGTTAAGAAAAACACAAAATTTCAAACTTGTACTGGTATTGCCTTTCAAAAATAGAAAATATATTAATAAAAAATGGCAAGCACAATTTTAGCAAAATATAAACAAAAATAATTTATCTACAGAAATTTGTTTCGGCTGTGTTCAAACTACTTAAGTTGAAATTTCATCTTCCAAATTACCGTAAAAATTTATAAAGCTCTGAAGGTGACTATTACATTTTACTGTGGGTTTTAAAAACTAAACGTAATAATAAAAAGACAATTTTTAAGATATCAAAATACGTTTATAAAAAGCACATTAGATCTTTAAATTACATGGTATTATATTCCTGATTCGTTAGTTCAGTTGTTACTGAGTATGGTACATTGATTGCCAGGTCAATGGAGGTTTTTTTTGCAATACCGCAACATGGTTGGAAAATGAGAGGGATTAATCAAAACTGTGTAGGTACGTAAATTTAAAATTATTTCAAAATAAAAATGTATAGATGAATCAGTTCAATTTCATTTTAAATTATTTTTATTAAATAAGAACACATTTTATTGTTAGAAGTTAAATACATAATGTATAAAAAGTTTGAGTACTAGTGTTACTGCAGAAGGCAGGTTTAAATTTAGAATGACTCAACTGAACTATTTTTTAAAAAAACTTTGTAACTAATAATAAATTTTTAAAGTATTGCTTTTAACACAAAAGCACATACATACACTCTTTGAATGTAGGATAAAGATATCCACACATTTTTGTCCAAATTAAGTACACTACTACTCCTTAAGTAAGGTCTTCTATACTCTGTTATTTGAAATCTGTTATTAATTTGAACATAGAGATCACATTTTCTTCCCTCATTTTCTTGCCTCACCAACCTTCAGGTAATAATATTAAAATGGAAAACAATACCCAGCATTAATATGTAAAATGGACAATTTTTACACCAATTATTTGAATTCTATTCACGAATCCTCCTTAAAACGACATGTCTATTTCCTAACAACAAAAATAATATCATTAAATATATGAGGTGTAATTTCACTCCATAAGTTGTGTATATTCTCATTATTAGTAATTCTTACCTCATGACGTTCAGTAATCACGTTTATATTTTAAGTGTTGATATGTATTCTAATTTCTGGCAATAATATTCAAGTCCAATACTCCATCCTCTTAAGTGAAAATTAGCAATTAAAGTAGTGCCTTGAGCAGAAAATAGGGCACTGTTAAGATTTAGCGATTGCAGCAACTAATAGCCATCTTTACGCCTACAATAGCGCATAGTTGCAAACAAACTAAAGTCTATCAGTAGAGCCCAAAAAGAAATTTAGTTTTGAAAGGTCCCAAACGGAAGTTTATCAAACTCAACTATACACTGCAGTAATTCTTGAAATAAATTTTCCCTTTATTTAAATAAGCAAAATTCTACCAACACACGAATATATCCATGTTAGTCTACTTACACACGCAACATAACCTGTTTCCTGGTTATAACGCCATTCTCAAACACAAAGTGGGAGAGATTTTTAAGAGAAGCTAGACTTCAAAAGCTCCTATTGATATGACCTCTTTGATACTGGCTTATGTTAGCATATAATATAAAGGTCACGGTATTTATCACAAATGTAAAGAGTAACAGTTTAGGCGACCTTCAACATTATCTAAACTAAATTTACATAGGAGAAAATGGGTGCCCAAATAAATGCAGGGGCTTTACATGGACCTCAGCATTAATTTCAGCGCCAGAATCAAATCCCGGCTGTCCTGACTCCAGGTTCAGTGGTCTTTCCAGTACCCCCAAAGAAACCCCTTAAAATGAGTAATTAAAACTATCAAATGTTAGGAAACAAAGACGGTCCTGTTGCGTGTATTACCGTCCACGGCTGCCTGCCGCGTGTCGCAGGTGAGAGGGGGTCACCTTCTTTCCCGCACACCCGCAGCCTTCCCCTGTTCAAAAACCCAACACACAAGAGAGGGCGTGGGAAAGAGACAAGAAGGGAGGTAAAGGCAGAGGAAAGTTCGAGGCTCATCCCCAGTTGGAGCTCAGAGAAAACAAGGTGTGATTGCTAAACCTCACCCAGCAGTCGGGACGCCCCGGGAGTAGTGCCACCGCCTCTGGAGGCGACGCGCGCGAGCAACGACGGACGGACGGACGGACGCACGGGAGGTAGGGCGGACGGCCCGGACCAGTGGCGGTCAAGCGAGGGAGAGTGCCGGGCAAAGAACATGGAAGGCAGCAGGTGGGAAGCGGCCGGAAGGCGGTGGGGGAGAGCGGAAATAAGGCGGAGAGAGGGCAGGGCGACGGGGCGGATGGAGCCGGTCGAGGGGCCTCGACGAGCCGGGAAGCTGGAGGCGGGACGGCCGCGGCCACGCCGCGCCAGGGGTGACTGCAAGGGCGCTGTCCGCTCAAGCTGCCCCGAGGGGCTGGGAAGCCGAGTCTGCCGTCCCGCTGCTCGACGGGGCTGGGGACGAGAAGGGGTGAACCCCGCCGACACCGCCTCCAGCCGGGCGACGGTCCCCACTGCGTATCCGGCGTGGGTGCAGGCGGGCAGGGTTGACTGCGGCCCGGAGGCAGGGTCTCCAGCCGTTAACAGCAGTTTGCCAGTGACCCCGCTGCCCCCATCCCTCCTCACCCCTTCGGGTCTTCAATTGTTGGTCTTAAATCCGTGGGACCAACGACCACAAACCGCCGCCACCGTTTCGGGGACCAGTCGGTCGGAGCGGGGGTGGCCGTAGGGGGGAGGGTAGCCCACCAGGAGGGGCTCGTGCTTGTCCTCGCGCCTTGGCGGGGGTCCCAGCGGGCGCCGCGCGCGGTGGCCCGGGCAGCCCACGTGGAGCGGCGCCTTGGCCAATCCGTAGCCAGCCCTGGGGAGGAGCAAGGCGGGACGAGGCGGGACCAAGGTTTAAATCCGAAGGAGGCTCTTGGGCGGGGAGTAAAAGTTCTTGGAGTGACGGGGACTTCAGCCAACGGGGGCGAGAAGAGCGATTTTGAGGGTGTGGATGGGCATAGAGTGGTACCAAGTGAAGGTTCTGCGGCCTTTGTTAAGGTGTGTGGAAACGAGGACTATGATTTGAACTTCCGTATTTTGTTTACTTAGAAAAAAATATATGTACATCATAAAGATTTCTTTTTCTCGTTTGACTGAGTTTTCTAGTCTTAAACTTCTAGTTTGACGCAAAACAGCCATATAGCCTAACTGTGGACCTTGTAAAATAAGGGCTGGGGGAAGAAAGGGGGGCGATTTTAAAAGCCAAGCGGTGGATTTGCAAATAGGACTAGAAGCATAAAGATTAAGTGGCTAAATGTCTAAGGGAATGGGCTGAAGTAAGAGACCTAGGAAGAGGCCTGGCTACCCCCAGCGTGGGGAGAGGTTTGGAGGTGGCGGAACTGCTGAACCCGGGTCTGTGCTTGTGTGGAACCAGCTTTCACTGATGTGGTGGTTTAGCATCGTTTACACATACCCTGAATTTTGCTTCCTTTGAAGACAGAGCTCTGGATTAAATGGCGGACGAAGAGAAACAAATGCCTTTAGCAACCAACCCTATATCTGTAGATACTATCCATAAACTCATAGAATATTAGAACTGGAAAGCACCTAGATATGTAGCTTCTCCTTTAACAAACTAATAACTTGATGCCCAGAATAATCGACTGGATAACACAGTAACACAGGTCTCCTTATTCCCACCCCCAAGGTGCTTTCTTCCGCATTAACTCGTGATTTCAGTTTGTTTTTCTCCATATGTTTAAGGCGGTAATGAATGTCTACCAACTTAAATTGTCTTTATTAACAAAAATTGTGTGTGTGTATATATATATACACACACAAACACATACACACACACATATGTATTTTCCCCCCCATACTCTAATAGCAAGGAATTAGAGAAATTAGTAGGGACTTTGAAGCCAGACAGACCTGGGCTTAAATCCCTATTTTACTATTTTGTGGTTGTGACACGTTGGGCAAATTAATTAACTTCTCTGAACCCCCATTTAAAACGGAGATTGTGAAGATTAAATGATAAATAATATTAACAAATATTGTGCACTGTTATGTGCCAGAAACAGTTCTAAGAGATTTTTCTTTATTCTCGCAGTAACTTTGGCACAGGTATTAGCCCCACTTAACAGCTGGGGAAACTGAGACACAGAGAGCTTAAGTAGTTTGTGCAAGGCTATACAGCAAGTTGAATGGACCCAGTTTGATTCAAACGTGCAAACATAACTGCTACACTGTCTCGAACTGTGTACAGAAACAAGGAGAAAACTTGCCATCATACCAGGTGTACGCTGGAAGCTCAAGAGATATACTTTCCTGAACTCTGCCCTCGTCAGTGAATACCAATTTCATTTTATGTAGGCTGTGTGCATTCAAGATAAAGCAACTAGAAATCCCAGACTAATAGACCTACTTGTGTTTGTTTTTTTGTTTATGACATGTCATCAATTCTCTACCTCAAGAACTGCAAGGGTAAGAGTTGTGATATCGTATTAACTACTATTTTGCTGCTTTGTTATTTCTCTGGAAAAAAGATTCCCCACATTCTTCATTTTCATGTTGGTGCCTTCTCAATTCCCAGTGATTAATTCTAAATGCAAGTGTGTTTAAGGTTAAACTGGATGAAATGGTGTTGGACATATTCTGAAAAGTCCAAACTAAGTAGTTGCTGTAGGATCCTTAAAGAGTCACTAGGTGGAGATGTTGTGAGGTACAAAAGATAGTTCTTCCAAGTAGCCTGATATGTTTTTTAGTCCCCCCCCCCTTCGTTGCCCCCCCTTTTTTGGTTCTCCCTCTCTCACCCACCCTCCCACCAAGTGTAAAGAAAACCAAGCAATCGGGCTTCTCAGCAAGTATGAGAGTCAGGCCATAGAACTTTGCTTTCAATGAGATAGTATTTAAAGACCCTTTCCATACTTGCACTATATATCCTTTTGGTCAGATTCCTTCTAAACTTTTTATTATCCAAAGTTTCTTAATACTTTTATTTTTCAAATGCTATTAAAACTGTATTTACCACATGTAAAATTAAAGGGATAGCCTTTAACTTTATGTCTCAAGGCTCCTAGAAAAAGACATATAAAACCTTTTTTACCAACTAGAATTCTTCTTCAGGAATAAATTCAAAATTAGGATTTGTTATTATTTGAAAGTTTTTAGAAAACGTGATCCAAATGATTAAGAAGAAAGAAGATAAACAACATGGAGGTGTTTCTGACTGAAAAGAAGCCACGAGTTGGAGGATACTTGTTGGTGAAGGAGAAAATAGAAGGAAGGTTCTGCAAACACCAGAAAGAGAAATACTGACTATTGGAAAGAAAAAGTTACCAATAAAAAATTGGAAGGGATATGCAAAATACTTTTGGTTAAAATAGTTTGGATACATGTAAATATATTTTTCCCCATATGAAATGTAAGCTTTCTGGATTATTTACAGGTTATTTATATATACCTTCTGTAAAATACGAACCCCCAAAAGGGAAGCAATGGGAAGTTTTTATAAATGTTTAAAATCCAGCTTAGTTCTAATAAAAGAAATGAAAGGTGAAATGTACCATATGAAAGAGCAGTGTGCAGTGGTCTGATTTCTTTTCCAACAAATGTGTTGTTGGAGCTTCTTCCATTCATATCTGGCAGTGATGCCACAGATCCACCAAAACATGTTAACTATTTCCACGTTTATTGAATTAATGATCTACAGTACATAACTTGGGAGCAAGGGACTCTTCTTTAATCTGGCAACTGTTCCATTGAAATGACATGTTAAAACCCTTTCAGAAGTGTGAGTTGTTTTGTTTTTTATGCTTAATATGTATATTCCAATTCACTGACCCTTACTTTCTCACTCTGGTTTGATTTTTTTCTGCCTGCCAGATTAATTTGAACTTTTCATTATTCTGGAACGTGAGCATCAGCACCAAGATGACAATAAGGCAGGACAGGTTCTTTAGCATTGCTCTTTCTAGTTGTGGCAGAGTCATCATTACATCCTGTCAGTGTACTTCCTGTGGTTAACAACCTTGCTTTCCAAGTCAGGAAATCAGAAATTGAAATCTTTGTGTGCAGCCTCATGGCCTTTATAGTGTCCAAACCGGTGACCAAGGCCTCATTTAACATAGGTGCAAAGTAGAGGAAGTACTGAGAAAGCCAACCTTTCCCTAATTGTTTATTAATTGTTAGTTAACATAAGGATCCAGTCATCCAATTATTAAAAATGAATAAATAAACTACAATGTTAGTGTTAGGTGATGCCTGGCCAAAAAATACTTTTTTTCCCCATTTCAGACATCTTGGCTTAACTCACAGCATGAAAAAAATAGCATATGTAATAAAAAATAACTTTCTGATAGTGAAGACTGATTAAAAATTTAACCCTTTGGTTGGAGAGAGTGTGATTAAATATTTCCTGTCTTAACTCTGCAGAGAAGTTTAGTAGTTTGCTTACCAAAGTAGCAAATTACAATGAAACTAAAGCTGGAAGACACATTAGCAATCATTTGACTGGGAAAGCTCAAATAACTTACCCCAAATCACAGAGCCAGTTAGCAGCAATACTGGGCTGGAACTCCCCGCTTCTAACTTTCAGTCTGATACACTGGCTCTCCCAGAAACTTCAAATTGTATTTTTAATTTGGTTAAATAAAACGCATCATAAATATATTCAATGAAGAAAAATATTTTGGTTGAGGACAACAGTATCAGCTTTGGTTCAGGGACATTAGTACACATGGCCATAAAGGATGTGTGAAGCAGAGCAGTTTCTTAGGAATGACCTTTCTTTGCCCTCCAAAGGTGGTGTCCTCCCTAGATGATTCTAGCTCTGACTGTCGAAATCTGTCATTCACCACTGCAGAGGAAGCAGAAGGAGCCTCCCTGTTTGTGCCCAGGGAGTCTTTCCTTTCATTTTCTAAAATACAGGAAATAAAGAGAGCCCATGGAACTCTAAGGGTAAAGACAAATGCCATTATAATCCACGGTGCAGTCAATGTTTTAAATTAAAGTCAGATCTTCCTTATAAATCAGTGTATCCGTCTTAATTTACATTGGTAAGCTTGTATGCACAGTCTAGGGCATCCCTGAAATCACTGGCCTTTTATGTTTTGCCAGCTTTTCGTTATTCCAATTCTCAATCTTAATAAACAAGATACATTTCCACCTCAGCCTGTGTTTTAACACCACTGACTGACTAAGCTCTTGTGACCAAAAAAAAAAAAAAAAAAGCAATCTTATTCGGTCAGAATAATGTAAACCATCAAAACAGCTGCAATCTATAATTCTAATTTTCTTCAGGACCACCTTGAGACCCTGTGTATGTGGGGCAGGCTAACTAGACTGAATTAGAATTTTCTCTCTGGTCCAGTCCAGAGGTCTGTATGACTCAAATATAGATCTTTAGTTCTGTGAATAAATATGAGATAGAATAAGTGTAGTATGTGTTTAAAAGGCTAGGGTTGGGTGAGTAGTGTACAGGTCAATTAAATGTGGGAGGTAAGAAGGGGAGTGATCAGCAGAACAACTATAAGATGTAAATTCAGAATAACTGCTTTAAGAACAAATATTAATAGCATGAAATTGTATTAAAATTTTATATAGCTTCATTTTTTCTTACTACTAGATATGACAAATAGTTAAATATATTTTATATTTTATATTTGTAGAAAAGCCTGTTCTCATGTATATGTTATATGTGGAATAGTGTAATGTGAAAAGCAAATACTGGAATTAGAATCAGAAAACCTGTATGACAGTGTCAGCTCTTCTCTTTCCTAGTTGTGCGTAGC